CTCCCTCTCTCTCTGACCCCCCCCTGCACACGCTGTCTCTCTCTCTCCTAGAAATAAATAAAAACATTAAAAAAAAAAAAAAAAAAAAAAGCTGAAGCAAAAAGAAACCCAGAGGTTTCTTCCAGGAAGGAGAGCTGCTGCCATTCCTGGCTGGCCTCTGTCGCACCTGCACTGAATTAAATGAAGTACTGCTCTTCAGACAGCGACTTAGCGTCCACTGCATTTCTTCCTTCCATCTATTCAAAACACTCAATGATGGGGGGCGCTTGGGTGGCTCGGTTGAGCGTCCAACTTCAGCCAGGTCATGATCTCGCAGTCTGTGACTTTGAGTCCTGCATCAGGCTCTGTGCTGACAGCTCAGAGCCTGGAGCCTGTTTCAGATTCTGTGTCTCCCTCTCCCTCTGCCCCTCCCCCACTCATGCTGTCTCTCAGAAATAAACATTTTTTTAAAAATTAAAAAAAACCCAAAAATCAAAAAGCTCAATGACCATTCAGGCATTCCTTCTCTCTACAAATATTTATCAAGGGACCATTGTGCTCCAGGTACAATGCAGAGTTGGGAGTTCGGTGGTAGTGTAACAGAAAACCCGATGCACCTCATACTTGGGCAGCTCACAGTCCAGTGGGGAAGACAGTGTTTTAAGAACTATGATTCAGGTCTGGGGCGCCTGGGTGGCTCAGTTGGTTAAACGTCCGACTTCAGTTTGGGTCATGATCTCACAGTTCGTGGGTTCGAGCCCCTGAGGCTCTGTGCTGACCGCCTGCTCAGAGCCTGAAGCCTGCTTCGGATTCTTTGTCTCCTTCTCTCTGCCCCTCCCCAGCTCACGCTCTGTCTCACTGTCTCTCAAAAATAAATAAATGTAAAAAAAAATACATAAAATAAACAAATAAAAAGAGAAAATGGGACTAATAAATGAGAGTCTGAATACAAACTGCTTCAACAGATAAAATGCAATTAAATAATAACTTGTTTTATTTAACATCTAAAAAGTAATTCACTTACGTCCTGAGGATGGAAGAATGAGGCAGCTTGAGAATCTTTCTTACGTAATCATAGACTTTGCTACTGCACAAGTAGAGTGTACATGCAAACTGTTTCATTTCTGTGGAGTACTCAGCTGTTTCTCTCCAATTATACAATTCCCACTTAAAATCTGTTAAAATAAATTTATTCTTTGTGATGAAGAATATGTTTAGTAACATTTTCAGGTACAGATCACAGCATTTGAATATAAAAAGCAGTGGGCTTCCAAATCCATATCCCATCACAGTTTAACTGAGTTTGTTCAAAGGTTAATATCCAATCTTAGGGCCTCTTGACCAATTTATCCTGTTCATACTGGATTGTGTCACTAAAAAGAGGGAAGAAAAAAGTTTCAACTTGAATCACTATGTTTTACTATTCACTGGCAGCCTATGTAGAGAATTTTAGAGAAACAGAAGAAAATGAAATAACTGGATAAAATTAAATCTCTGGATTATGAGTACATTTATTTATTTTGCTCCCTGGTTACTATTTATCTGAGGGTAAAAATAATACACAAGAAACAATTCCGGCAATAGGATGCTATTCAGATTAAATAGATGACCTTGCCTACTTTCAGGGGGTAAAAATCCTCTCTTCCTGGGGGATCCCTGTTTATTACCTCTGTTCCCCTACTGGAAAACCACAAAATATTCTCCTCCTTTGGAGATACCTGCTTTTTTCTAAAAACAGAACATACTTATTTTTTTTTTTACCAGGATGTAAATCCAAAATTTCTGCTACTTTCGTCAAAGAGTTAGTTGGCAACACTTATTCTGTCCCTTTTCAAATATCCTGGTTTACAAAGAAGGGAGTAGGTAGTCTTTCCAATGGACATGTATATCTTCTATAGGATATTTTAGAAAATAATATATGGAGACTCAAAGAATTTTCAAGCTTAAAGGGAATTGGAAGATTATCTGGTTCGACTCCACTGCAAAAACACTTCAGTGATAAAGTATGTAGCACTTAAATTGTTTAAGAAGAATTTGCAGTAAAATGAGTAAGTGCTTTATAAGAAATCAAAAGTATAGTATGGTATAAACCATATGATCTAACCTCTAGGTAGTAGGATTATGTGTTACTTTTATCATCATATATTTCTTTGCCTTTCCTTAATAAACACATTATTTTCAAAACTGGAAACACAGGGGCGCCTGGGTGCTTGGTTGAGTCTCCGACTTCGGCTCAGGTCATGATCTCGTGGTTTATGGGATTGAGACCTGCGTCGGGCTCTGTGCTGACAGCTAGCTCAGAGCCTGGAGTCTGCTTCTGATTCTGTGTCTTCCTCTCTCTCTGTCCCTCCCCTGCTCACTGTCTCTCTCAAAAAATAAATAAAACACTTAAAAAAATAAATAAATAAAATAAAACTGGAAATACATAAAAGGATTTTGGTAATTACTTTTCCTTCTTTCTGCTTACCCTGAGACTTCATGTCTCAACTAAATGCATGTTTTCATAGGCAACAGCAAAGTAAATACTTTAGTGGTATTTCAGAAAAGGGGAACATCATGGGCGTCATCGGGTGGCTCAGTCAGTTAAGCATCTGACTCTTGGTTTCGGCTCAGTCATGGTCTCACAGTTCATGATTTCGAGCCCTGCTCTGGGCCCTGCACTGACAGCACAGCATAGAACTTGCTTGGGATTCTGTCTCCTTCTCTCTCTGTCCCTCCCACATGAACATGCACACGCACGTGCTCTCTCTCTCAAAATAAACTTAAAAAAAGAAAGAAAGAAAAAAGAAAAGGGGAACCTCATACCTGAAAACTGTGCTCGTAGCAGACACTCTGTTTCTTCAGAAAGTAGTTTTTCTTCTACAAGTGCATCAATTAATCGTAAGCCCTTTCTCTTCTTGATCATCCTGTAGTTTTTTACAGAAACCAGTCTTTTTTTGGACACTTGTAGCATCTGCTGCACCTCAGCTAGTTTCTCTGCACCAACTGTCAGAGGTCTTTTTAAACTGTAGTTATGGTCCTCAGTAGCAACCTCTTGAGAATTATCAGGAAGTGGCTGTTTTAGGATTTTCTGTCTTGCTTTACCTTTAAGGTGTACACCTTGAAGAACCTACAACAGAAATACAAAATTAAGGTTACTTTTGAAATTATCACACAGAAGATGGTCTATAAAAATACCACTAAATGCAGAACACTCACCTTTAATGTGGAAAGTTAATTATTAAAAAAGGGTCATAATATCTGATTTTTTCAAATATATTTATAGGAAAATGTGAATAGGGTTGGGTTCTTTCTTTTCTTTTTTTGCATCCATATAGAAATAGTAACTTGCTGCCGAAAATTAACATGACATTGAAAGTTTCTGAAATGGTTAAGGTAACAACAGAAAGGTGGTAATTTGGGAAGGCTTTGAGGAAATGAGTTTTGGGCAGTATTTTAAGAAAGCAATAACAGTATTGAATGGAGAGGACAGGAAAATTATTTGTGCAAAAAGGCAGGCAGGCATAGTGGACAGAGCATGGGCTTTGGAATTAAGACTAATCTGGGGTCGAATCCTGGCTTCCTCATTTCTTAGCTGTCACTACACCTCTACAATCTCTCATCTCCTCATCTGTAAAACTGTAGTAATACAGAGTTGTTTCAAGGATACAATACAATAATTTATGTAAATCTCCTAGCACAATGCCTGGACCACTGCAGGTCTCAATAAATAATAACTATTATTGATTTTACACAAAAGCATAAGAAACTAGTCAATTTATCACATTTACGGTAGTTAAGAACATGTGGTTTGAAAAGAGAATTTGGAGAGTTAGAAATGCACAATTTAAATTTTTTTTAATGTTTTATTTATTTCTGAGAGAGAGACAGCATGAACAGGGGAGGGTCAGAGAGAGAGGAAGACACAGAATCTGAAACAGGCTCCAGGCTCTGAGCTGTCAGCACAGAGCCCGACGTGGGGCTTGAACCCACGAACCATGAGATCATAACCTGAGCTGAAGTCGGAGGCTTAACCAACTGAGCCACCCAGGAGCCCCAGAAATGCACAATTTAAAGGAAGCTCTTGGAGCTTAGGAGTTTGGACTTGACACCACCTCTTCTGAATACAGGAATGAGAGAAAACAATACTGAAAGGAGGAGATTCCAGTGGATAAGAGGAGGCAAAGGTGGTGTCAGGATAGAACAGCTAGACTGGTGCAGACTGAGCAGACGCTGAGGAGCCAGGTACAACAGTGTGGCCGAGGGGTAAAAGGATAACTAAAAAACAAAAGAAACCTAAGAATGTAACACTAATCCTGGTGACTGATTCATAGAAAGCCCTCTATTTTCCATAGATACCTCTTTATATCTATGCTAATAATTAGGTATATTTTTGGTCAAGATCAACATTACTGGGAGGAGTCCAAAAAAAGCATAATTTCTAAGTACTATGGAAATTGTCTCAAACAAAAGCCTGAATTCTAAGGCATCTACTAGTTAATTTTTGTGATCAGTTTAGGATTCTTTATGTCTAGAAAATGATCTGCATTTATTTACATAAAAAAACTCCAAAGCAGAATTGCTAATATTACATATAGATTAAAAAAACAAAAAAACCTAGTTTTCGGTGCATTTAAAATTTATTAATGGATTTATTTTAAGATTTAGGATTTTTTTTTTTTTTTTACTCTCTGTAAATTCTACCTATAATGAGAGGGATCTCTGTAGAATTTAGTTTTGTTTATACCTAGATTTAAGTACCTTGTATAGAGAAACAGAAGGCACAGCTCCTTTTTTCAGCTTTCTTCTTATGCCATATGACTCAAAGTCACTTTCTTGAAAATGTTTGGAACATAGTATAGCACCTGGTCCTGGGATCCAAATCTTTTTGCTTCTGGGGTCCACACGATTAACAGCCCTGATCCATTTTGAGCGCTGTATGGTATCAGTTGGAAATCTACAGCAATCATATTAAAGTTCCATTAACATGAAAATATTATGGTAATACTACAGCAGTATTTATTACATAAACCCATTTATTATTTAACTGCTTCATATAAACATCAAGTCCAGTTAAAACTTAATCTGATTTTTCAAAATTCTTTGATTTTTTTGAATCCAAGAGGTCCATATCTAAGTGATTCATTTGCTTTAATTTCTAAGGGCAATTCTCATATTAAATACCCTACATTTTGTCTTCACTGCCTACATTAATGCAATCTGCTCAAGTTTAGTATGTGTGTTTTTAAACTATGTCCACAAACTCTTTGCTTCTCTTCCTTTCAAGGAGTGGAGTCTAATTTCTTTCCCCTTGAGTGTGGGCTAGAGTTAGTGATTTGCTTCTAAGAAATACAAAAAAAAAAAAAAAAAAAAGGCAGAAGTGACAATGGGCAATAAGACTAAATAATAAAAGGTACTTGTTCCCTCTATTCAATGGTTTTTCTCTGGGAAAATTGCTCTCCCATGTGAGTGGTCCTGTAGAGATATGTTCACTGGGCAAAAACAGGCTTTCCGCCACAAAAAAAAAGCCACATGAGTGAGTCTTTCTGAAACTGCACTCTCCAGCCTCATCAAGTGTTCAGAAGATTCTAATGTTTGCTAACATTTTACCGCTACGTTAGGAGACAGCCTGTAACACCCAGTTAATCCACTTCTGGATGCCTACCCTCAAAATGTGTGAGATCATGTTTCCACTGTATTTTGAAAAAATTTGTTACTCAGCAGTGGAAAACAATTACATTTCCCATACTCAATTTTCCTCTTTTGTTTTAAAAGGCACCACTTTTTCCTAGCCTTGAATATAAAAATTACCTTGTATTTCTCTATTTTTAATCCCAGCCAAATTACTACGTTTAGAAATTGGTGAGAGGGGGAAAATCACAAAACAACTCTTTTCTGCACCCTCTCCCTTGATTTACCTTGGAGACAGATCTATAGGTAGCTGTGTGACTTTTGTATATTTTAACTTGGATTTTAAAGCATATCGTTGTTAGGAATTGAAACTAGTGAAAATTTTAATCTCCTCAGCTCATTGTGGGGAAATAACATAGCAGTATGGTAAAACATACTTCTGAGATATTCTCTCAATCACCTTGAGAAAGAATACTGAATTAGAAGATCTGTATTTAAGCTTCAATTCCCTTTGATCAGCAGTGTTGTATTAGACATGGGTCTCAATCTCTGAGCCGCCTCACAGGGTTGTAGTTAAGGGTGCACAAGGTGACAGACAAATGCATTCAAAGGCACTCTGGAAATGGTAAAGTACTACCTAGAATTTGTTCTTTCCTAGGAACAGCAATTCCACTTTCAGGACTTTCATTTTATTGTTCCAGGAAGATGATGCTGCTTGATCAAGAGGAAATTGTTTTTCTAACAAAGGTGAGGCAAATCTCTCTCTTTTCACCAAGTTCATTTCTTAACTAATGGCGCAGGTTTGTGAGGCGCTTTTCTCTAACCATGAGAGAAGCAGTCTCTAACCATGCAAAGGGCAGTAAAAAGTTGGATAGTCCACCAAATGACATTACTTGCCTGATCCTCTGATGCAGTTTCCCAACTGGCATGCCTGCTGACTACAGCCATCAAATCCCCTTAGCCCATAGAATGGCCAGGGCCACTTGGAGCCCTTGAAGTAAGTATAACAGGCCAGTCCCAAACAGCTTTGTTTGTTTGCCCCAAAGTATTAAACAAGTATTTCCTGTGCATAACACAACATGAAAGGCTTGAAAAATATTATAGTCTAACCAGCATGACTAATTTGAACTCTGGACAAAATTAAATTGATAATAATAATTGATTCTACTTTTAAAGCATTTACCTTGTGCTATTTTTACATAGCACATTACACATTTACACTGTGTGTGTTTTAAAGTTTATTTAAGTAATCTCTATACCCAACACGGGGCTTAAACTCATGACTTGGAAATCAAGAGCCACCATGTTCTTCTGACTGAGCCAGTCAGGCACCCCGGTGTGTATGTGTGTTTTTAAAAAATCTGTGTCCTTAAAAAATTCTGCATGACAGGTTACCTTTCACTGTAGATGAAACCAAGGCCAGAGCTAAGTATAGCCACTAGTAAATAATAGCTGAAATTGGAATTCATGTTTCCCTATTCTAAAATCACCTGTAGCAAAAGAAAAATCCCAAACCAATCAATCTCATATACACAATAATGACTGGTTTACACTAATACAGAACCTGCTTTCTCTCCTGTTAACTATCCTTTTTTATACTACTGGCAGAAATTACCTTGGGCTCTCTGCATATCATATATTCTAGAAAAGTGGCTAACAAAATCCTGTCTATAGTGGTTATCTCTGAAGAGATAGAGAAAGGATTGAGGGGTAAAGCTTTATACCTGTAATTTAATTCTAAGAGAAAAAACAAAGAAAACAAAAATGAAAACGAAAACTGAAACAAGGCAAAATGTTAACATCTGCTTAATTCTAGTGATGGGCACATCAGTGTTTGGTGTGTATTATTTTTTACTTGCTAGTGTGTTGGAAATGTTTCATAACTGAAAGTATAAAACAATTCATTACAATTCAGGCAAAAACTTTTCCAAATTACCATATATATACTTCTTTGGTTATGAAATAAGTTGTTTAATCTCTTTACACCACAAAAAGAGAATGAATCAAACTGTCACTTCTTTAAACTTCCTAGTCCCATCTCAGATTTAACCATTTATATGTCTGCCAAAGTACCAGTATTCTGGTATTTCCACACCTTTAATCATTTTGATTCATGCTTTTCAGCCAGAGCCCCTCGCCTGTGTCCTTGCAGCATCTTTCACAATTCTGGTAATGGTGCTGGGGATGTTGGGGAAGGCTTAGAAGAGAAAATATTGGAGCTAGAGCTGATGTGTCAACAGGGGTTTGCCATGCAGACAGTGGCCACTCCAAGCAGATGCACAAACACAGAGATATAAAATAACTACTTGGATCTTACTGGTTGATAAAGCATTGAAAAATAACTTAATGTGGAGGCCAGAGAGGGTTAAAGGAGGGTACAGAGGTAGCTTGAACTGGTTACAGATGGTCTAGAGGGGTGGCCAGAGGCCAGATCACAAAAGACTGTGTATGCTACGAAGTTTGGGATCCATCCTTTGGGTCAGTGGCCACCAGAGAAGTGTGCACTCATCCACAGAGATTTGAAGAAAACATTAGAATTTATTTTTATAATGTTTTGCCCCATCCCTTAATTGTGTTTCATAATACATATTAGTACATTACTTCGTGTACGTAATTTATAAATCATTATGCATTTATCAGGGTCTGTACTCAAATTTCTTTGTGGAGAGAGCTCCATGATCAAGAAGTTTGAAGATGAAGCCTTTGGGCAATGACAAGTTGACAAATCTTTCCATCCTATATTACCTTTTTGCTGAACCCTTACTTCTGATCAATACTACTCTGTTGCTAGAATTAACACCATAGTATTGTAATTCCTTTTCCTGTCTCTTTCTCCTGCATTCCTTACAACTTCCTAGGTATAGGAAGACAAAAATGATTCCCCTCCATTCATACACAAGGACATGTGTTTAATTTAGCAGACATATACAGTAACAGAAATACAGAGGGAATAAAATTAAGGTTGGAAGACAGGTTTTGTAGGAAAGTCTTTGCAGAGGAACTTGGACTCTTGTCTTTAGGCATTTGAAAAGCCCCAGGATTAAAATCCTTTCTTTAGGAAACTAGCAGAAAATTTGCATTTTTAGAAAAATCATTTCCAGGAATCAGGAAAATGGAATGAATGGGAAGAAATCACCCTGGACAAATCAAGAGCAGACTACTGTAGTAGCTGCATTACATTCTCTTCCTAAAATTAAGCAGGTCTTACTTTGGTCCTCAACATATAAAACAATTAAAAGCAATGAATGAACTCTTCCTCACTTAAAGAGCCTAAGAAGGCACAGGAAAAGCAGGGCAGCAAAAATGCGAAAAAGAAATATTAGAGAAAAAGGAGAGAACTAGGGACAGAGTGTGTCAATAGAGTCAATGGAGGTGAGAGTTTTATGGAGTAGTCGATGTAATTAAAAGTTAAAAAAAAAAGGTCAAGAGAAGCACTTAGCATGCTCTCTTAGATTTGGCACGATTACGGGTGACCCTTTGTCAGTGCATTAGAGCAGTGGTAGTGATCTGGCTAGCATAGGTTGAAAAGTCAATAGGACTTAGGGAAATAGGTGTGTATGTTCCTGTTTAGAGGAGCCTGGTTATAGAGGGAAGGAGAGCTAGGGTAGTGTAGAGGTACACACAGACTCAAGAGTTTGTGTATGTTTAAAAATGGAAGTACTGTGAGCATGCTTGCTGACTTTAGGCAAGCAATCAGTAGGATGCAGTTTAAAGTGAATACGAACTAACTGATGGGGAAAAATCCCGGAGAAGAAAAGAAATGATACAATTATTAACAGCTTAGGTGGAGGAACCAGCCCAATTTCAAAAAACAACACAAAACAATGACTACGAAAGGCCTACCATACATAGTTGAAGCTCCTTAACTTGACATCTTATTCTTTTTAATGTCTTCAAGATATTTTTCCCACTCCTCTCTATGGTTATCTGCGCTTTCCACCCCTTTACGTTTTTCCATGTTATTCCTATTTAAGTGCTATCTTCCTCCCACTCCACAATCTAAGTTCAAGGTCCAACTCAAATACCCTCTGTCCCAGAAAGCGGTTTTTCATCTTCTCATAAAAGTCCTTTGTCAATGGTTTAACTCTCTACATCTATTACCTTAACAGACTACTTCTTTTTGAGGTGCATTTCTTTTTGTCTGTGAGGATCTGTTCTACCCACTTTTCTACTTCGCATTTTGCCTTGAACTTTGACTGGAATGAACGACATACCACAGATGGGACTAAAGATGTGAATTCAAATCAGACCCGTCTGAAAATCCGCCCCACTCTTGAGCCAATGTACCTTCCTTGCCACGAGCACATCCAGTCAGAATACAACCGGCCTTGTGGAGCTCAGCCAATACTACTAAATAACTTGCAATAACAGGCAATATTCGTGAAAACTCATCTGTACTCATGTCCTGGGCAAGCCACACATCTAATAATAGAATCGAACGCTTTCAACAGTTTTCCCAAACTGCCCACCCTTCCCACCTCCTCACGTTAAACAGTAAGACGACCGAAAGGAAGCTCGACTCCTTTCAAATAGCCCTCGCTAAAAGCCATTAGGCAGGCGGTGGGCAACCAGAAAGAACCTGCAATTTGGAGGTACACACTAAGCCGGAGAGGCAGGAAAAACATCGATTCAAAGGTCCCCGTTCCTCTCCCTCACGCCAAGCACGTCACGCACGTCACCGGCGCGACGCACACCCGGCCCCGCCCCACCCTGGCCTACTGCCCGCCAGGCCGTGCTGGGAGCTGGACAGCCGGAGGCTGCTCTCACGCACTGGTGGAAGGAGAGGCCGCGCTCGCGGCTCAGCACGGTGTCTCGGGTGCTGCAGCCAACTGCCGAGCAACTTCGGGTCATCTTCTTGCTACGTGGGGCTCCACTTTGGGTGTTCCCGCGACAGCATTAATCGTGATAAACTTAACTCCGCCCGTGAATTCGGCAGCTACGACCTTTATTTGTCGGAAAAGGCGGGCTCTTAAGGCGCAAGACTCCTACCCTTCCTCTTCGTGGGCGCTGCACTAGGCGCCGTGACCAATCACAGGCCACGTCGCGTCGCCGCAGCCAATCGGGAGAGCCTGGGGCATTAAGACGAGCACTTGACGGCTCCTCCCTCTCTGTTCCAGGTTGGTTGGGGGATTTAGTTGTTTACCGGCTCGTTTTGCTAGTTTCAAGCCGCTCCAGTTACATCCGGTGCCATCGCGGTTCTTTGAGGCAGGGCCTGAAAATGCGAAGGCGGAGAGGCAGAAATAACGTTGAGGTGAATCCAGGGGCATGCGGATACGTCCCCGGTGCGAACTCTGAAAGTGACTGGAGGTTATGGCTGGAGGAAGACACGGCAGGGAGAGGGATAAACGCGGTACCCTAGAAATATTGGAGACGAAATTGGGCCCCCGGATAAATCATCTACTGAGAGGCATATAATTTTCTTGCATTTTATTTGGTAGATCCCTGATGCGGAGCTGTTGGGATGGTTGGCCTTAGATACGTGACCCCAGAGGAGCTTGAATGAGAGTGTTAATACGTCGACTTAATTCAAGGAACCCTTTTCTACAAGAGCTTTTGGCCCTATAGGGGAATTAAGAAAACAAGGTAAGGTCCTTGGGGCAGCACATGTCCAGTGGGGACTCGTCAATAGCATTAGTAGGAGAGGCAGGATAGAAAGGCAATGAAATGGTTACGGTTGGGATGTGCATTGTAGATAGCTTTCAAGGAGTGAGAAGGTCCTAGAACCATATCTTTGTTAAGCTCTGTATGTTTACGGTATGAAATTTCGATTTTCATGGAAGAAACAAAATGGAGCCAAAATATGACATAATTTCTATTCTATATTTTTGAAGAAACACTTAGCATGTTAAGTGGCCTCTCTCTCTGCTTCTTGCATTGGAGGCCCAGTAAGGAAACAAATGTTTGTGCTTTTTATTCAACTTTCTCATTTCCTTCTCCTGCAGGCAAGCAGGATTCCAAAATTTCTAAGCCAGATTGCTGCTTTTCCCTCTTTTTGTTTTCTTAGTCCAGATTCCAGCCCAAAGGTAATACTGACATCTACTTTCCATTATAATATACTTGTATCTTGTTTGAACGAAATTAACAGAGGCTTTGTATAGGTCCCGTTCTTAAAAGTCACGTGGCCTAAGGATAGTCCATGAGTTTGGGGAAAATCGAACCATGGGCTGTGTGCTTGCTTGGCTGTTAGATGTGCAAAGAGTAGGACCTGGATTTAAATCACCTTCAGTCTGTTAGACTATTAGAAACTTTCTTAGTACTCAACCAATTAAGACCCAGGTGAGGCTAAGAAATAAATAACAGTTTTCTCTTTAAGGAAAAAATTGGTTGCCTTGTTTTTTTTGGTAACAGTTTTGTTGGGATATAACACCTATACCATACAATTAGCCCATATAAATAGTGTACAGTTCAGTGGGTTTTAGTGTATTCAAGAGTTGTGCTGCCATCACCACAATCAATTTTAGAACATTTCCATCACCTGCCCCCCCAAAAATCATTCTCCTCAACAGTCAATCCCTATATCTCCACTATCCTCAGTTCTTGGAAACCACTAATTTTTTAGTCTGTGTAAGTTTGCGTATACAATTTCATATAAATGAAATCAGAAATTAATATAAGGCCTTTGGTGAGTGGCTTCTTTCATTTAGAATGTTTTTAAGGTCATGTGTAGCATGTATCAGTACTTCCATTTTGTTTTTTAATACAGAATTTTAAATATTTACTTATTTTGAGAAAGAGATTTAGAGTATAAGCAAAGGGGGGGGGCGGGGCAGAGAGTCGGCGAGAGAATCCCAAGCAGGTTCCACACTGTCAGCACAGCCCAATGCAGGGAACTCACAAGCCGTGAGATCACGAACTGAGGGGAAATCAAGACATTACTGAGCCACCCAGGTGCCACCGAGTACTTCCTTTTTTTTTCCCCCCAAAAGGTGTTCCATTGTATGAATATACTGCTATGATGACTTTGTTTAACCATTCATCAGTTGAACATTTGGGTTGTTTCCGTTGTGGGGGATTATTATGGATAATTCTGTGAAAATTAGTGTACAAGTTTGTGTGTGGATATATGTTTTCATTTCTTTCGAGTATTTACCTCAGGGTGCAATCGCTGGGTCATTTACTAACTTATGTTTAACCTCTTGAGGAAATGCCCAAGTGTTTTTCCAAAGTGACTAGACGATTTCATTCCCATTAGCAGTGGATAAGGGTCCCATTTTCTCCATGTTCTTGTGAGTGTGAAGTGGTATTTCATTGTAGTGGTTGCCTGATTTTTAAGGACTCCAGGTTTGCAGGGATCCCGCTAGAGGATGCTCCTTGCTTGTAGACCACTGTGTTAGGTGAATTTGGCTTTTCAGTCTCTAGCACACAAATAGATACATGTGTTTCTGCTATAATATACATGTTCCTGAAAAATATCTCATGTTCAGCAAAATTGTGCATGTGAAAGTAGTACTTACAGGAAAAAGAAAAAGCGTTGATCACTCAAAATCTGTGCAATCTGTGGGTAACCTCTAAAATAGTGATCAGTACCTGGGATGTACTCGTAAGCCCTCCCCTCACCCCTTAAAGGTAACTTAAATGGACACTGGCATGGGGTTTATTGAAAGAGCAAGACTGGTGGGTACTAGACATTAGATAGGAAGTGGAGCTCTGAGCTAATGAATTGTTAAATGATATAACCTGTTGAGAGGCTGAGGGCAGGTGGGCAGCTGAGGAGGAAGCTCCAGGTGCAGGCTCTCATTTTTCAGTTATTTTTTTAATGTTGATCTTTGAGAGAGCTCACGTGGAGGAAGGACAGGTGGGGGGGAGACACAGAATCTGAAGAAGGCTCCAGGCTCTGAGCTGTCAGCACAGAGCCTGACGTGGGGCTTGAACCCATGAACTGCAAGATCATGACCTGAGCCGAAGTCAGACGCTTAACTGACTGAACTACCCAGGTGCTCCAATCTCAATTTTTATTTTCTTAAGTTGGAGTTGAAAGTACCCCTGCTGCCAACTCAGAATCAGAGTTCAGAGGGAAGGGTTTTTTTTTTCTTTTTCTTAATTGGATTCCAGATATTGTGGCTTGTGGCTGCCGAAGGAAAGGTGAAACTGTGGCTCTCACATTATTGTTAAAGCATTCTTGTAATTATTAATTACAAAGGAGTTACTGAAAACTGCTATGCTGCACAACAGATGTACTTAAATGTTGTAAACTGGTTAAATGAAAACTCACTTTATGGAAGCCACAAGGGGTCACTGCCCTAGGTTTTCTTAGTGTACTCCTGGATAGGGAAATGTGTAATGCCTCGTAGATGCATGATTTTTTCTTTTAGTTATATTTATGTATCTTTATGTTTGTTTATAACTTGTGCATTTTTATTGCTGTTTTTACTAGTGACCTTGAGGTTCCCAATTTGATCATTTGATTATCTTTGCTTCTTTCAATAACTTCATATCCAGTGATTAAACTTTTTCACTGCCGTTCACGTAATGAACCGTTGTGATTATTGAATACATAAATGAGGATATGTAAACTGTGTTAAAGATATTGTAAAACACATGGACCATTGCAATTTAAAAGAAAATATCTCTTTTCAGGAATTACATTCTTGGAGATGTTGGAAAAAGAGTCCTGGGACTTCAAAGATAATCACTCCAAATATACAGGGGAGGTAGTTTATTTTTCTTTAAATGTATTAAGTGTTTTTGGAACAATAGTAGTGAGTTGGAAATGGAGGATTATCCAAGTAAAGATTTACGAATACTTTGGTAGAATCTCATTAATTTGGTCAGCTGGGTCAAAAATAACAACTAGTGCTTATCGAATGATTATAAGCCAGGCTTTGTGCTAAGCATTTTATACAGACAGTTTTGTTTATAAACATTATGTATTTCTCACAACTGTATGAAAGCAAATAGACTTTTTGCTTTCTAGGACAGGTATCTTGTTGAACACCTACTCTTTTGTCAGATTCTTAGTTCTACTAAAACCTTATTGTCCTGTTATATCAAAATGTATTGTTAGTAACTGACTTAACATTCTTGCTGAATTTTTCACCCTTTCATTTCAGAAAGCCTTGGGGTTTTGAAATTATTGGTGACCAACCAGAAACACTGTTCTGAATCTGATCCTTTCCCCAAAACTTCAGACCTTTTCAGCTAATTCATAAGTTGTACATTTTGCTTTTTGAATATAGATTGTGACTCTTTATATTGAAGTATTTATTGCTGTGTAAAAATTATCCAAAACTTAGTAGTTTACAACAACACTTATCTTTACAGTGGGAGGAGGGCAAACTGGAGAGACCTCATCTTCTGGACTCTCACTTAGCAAGCCTTGGTTCCTTGATGGCTGTAGGCTGAAGATTTCAGTACTTCCACAGGAGAGCCTCTCCATAGGCGTCTTGAGAATTCCCACAATGTGACAACTGTCTTTCCTCAGAGGGAATGATCCAAGAGAGAAATGCCTAGTCAACATGTAAGTCAGCACATATGAGGGTGTGAATACCAAGAGGTGGGAGATCATTGGGGACCATCTTGGAGGTTGACTATCACCCTTTACTCTCTTTTTTAACTGCTTCCATTTATTGAATCAAGAGATTTAGTATTAGACCCTCTGGTCAAATAATTAGAAGTATGAGAGCATGTGTATTCAAATAAGTGCTCTCTTTTTCTGAGGTGCACAGTTTCTTGCCCATGAATATGTAAATTCCATAGGTGATGCCACATTCCTTTTAGAAATTTTCTAGAGGGTGTATAAGAGCTCATTTTATAGCTAGAGAATAGTGTACTTTGATCATATATTTTTTTTCTTGGACCCATTTCTCATCTCCCAACCTCTCCTTAGGTGAAGGGGTGGTTAGAGAAGCTGGAAGTAGACTATAGATAGAAATTGAGTATCCCTACCCCTGGTATTTTGCTTGGGTTGCAGACTGACTTGGCAAGGTTGAAATTTCTGTTTAGAGTTTTCTAAGGAATGCAGTCCAATTACTTAAAAACACTTAACACATATATTTGACATCGGATGGAATAAAGGTATAAATATACAGCAGCAGCAGCTTTAGAGTGATTTGTCCTTTTCCTCAAAAGCTTGATATTTATCCAATATGGTGAGTATACTTCCTTTTCTTTCTGTTGCTCCCCCCTCGCACCTCCCACCACGGTCTTATGTCTCTCTTAATGAATACAGTACAGACTTTGCCAAGCCCTTAATTGGGGCATTCTGATCAGAATGGCCCTAATTGGTAGTGCCTGAGATTTGTAATGTTTTGAGTATTCTTTTCCCTTTTCATTGTTTAAAAGGTCTTTGTTAGCAGTGTTAGCAGTGACAATTCTCCCACTTTTCCTTTAAAGCTTAAGTGCTTCTGATTATTGGAAACTTGTGTAACACAAAAAGCATTAATAAAAAACAAGATATAACCAGTTTTGGAATGTGTTTGTAGTAAAGTATGGTTACCCTTTCCATGCCAAGCTTAATATTGAGAAGACATTTCTAAGTTAGCATAAGGTAATCTGTGCAAGGTAGTTAATGATAGATTTGAGATTATCTTTGATATGATTTTTCCAGTCAGAGTAAAATTGGAGGTCTTACCTGTTCATGAAAATTAAAATTTGTAGAAATGTGCATATGTTATGTTCTTTAAAAAGGGCTAAACAAAGAAAAACTTAGGACTAAAGCTTAATTTGAAAATAGGAAGAAAATATAAATGTCCAATGATTAAACTTTTTCCACTGCTGTTCACATCATGATCTGTTGTGATTAATGTATGTGGATGAGGACATAATGGGAAAAAAAAATCCTAGTGGGAGAAAAAAGTAAAGATATGATGTAGTTTTTGTATATTGATTTACTTGTAAATGTTTTCCTGTCTTAGGAATGAAATTGAAGGGTGTTTTTGTCAGATTTATCTGATAAGGAATTTGAACATTTGTACAGTAAGGTAAGTGGCTTATAAATTTGCTAGTTTTGACAAAACAGAAAACCAGATCTAAGCAAAAAATTGATATTTGAGCAGAATATGGATATTGTACTCAATTAAATTTTTTCCCTTATTTCATCTTTCAAAGATAACATGAATATGATTTCAAAGATAATATAATTTTCTGAATCTATAGATTGGTACAGGATAGGCAGTTGGGTGGCTGGGGTCAGGACTTTTAACCTTGATGATCATCTTTTCTCAAAAATAGTGATGTAATTCAGCCCCTGAGATTCTTAGAGATCATATATTCTAGGGTTTAAATTTGCTGAACTTTTGGATGTCCTATAAATGACTTTGATATTCCTGTGAATGACCATCCTATCACTTAATCTTCATTCAAGAATAGTGGATAAGTAGGGGGTCAGAAGGTGGGAATCTCAAATCTAATACCAGATTAGTCTGTCACTAATTAGTCATGTTGTCTTGGGTGTTTCAAATTTGAGGAATATAAAGAGGAAAAATTCTTGCAAATACTCAGTATTAAGTTTATTTTCTATTTCCTAAATTTCTATAAATATAAAAGTTGATACAAACTTCGTTTATGGGCCTTAGTCATAAGATTTACAAAAGAGTGCATTCAAAAACAAAACTAAAATATTAATGGGATGGATGCTACTGTTATGCAGGAGAAAACATGGCACTGGCTGGTATGGAATAAGTTGCAAATACATACAGTCTTGTGCTTTGTGATGATTGTAAAGTTTTACAATCAGGAAAACAGTAGAGTTGTCCAGAACTTTACTCTTTTGTAGAACTCAGAATTACTGAAATGAGGGGAAGAGGCCTAAATTCTCAAAAGGGTGTCTTTGGACTGTCTGTAAATCCTCATTTGAAGAATTATGTATTACATTGTCTCCAGACGTTTTCCCATCTCCAATGGGAATTCACTCTGGAACTAACATTCCTTTGAGAAAAATTTTCATTTTTCTATTTTGATTTATGTTTAAATTTGGCTAGTAGTTAGCTAAAGTGGCTTAAATGTTGACTATTTTGTGAACTAATACAAGTTTTTCTTTTTAGATACAGGTAATCCTTACTTTGCACCATGCCATTATACATGAAGATTAGTTTTCACACTTTACACCAATCCTACAACGCACTTGAAATTTCAGTTATAATAGTAACAACTGTTGCATAAGCTTTGTTGCTAGCTCTTTATTCTACAACCGATTAGTAAAGATGTGCATCATGGTCAGTAACCAGTTACAACACATCTTTCAAAGTCTCTTGGTGATTGATCACTGAACATCTCTTAGTTCACAGAGTAAAGCATGTAGTTATGTGGCTTACTTGTTTCCCAGTGATAAACCCGTGCAACATTTTACAAAACTGGATAATCAGAAGAGGGAATTGACAGGGCAGCAAAGAAACAATGGAACTGGAAGTGAAATTGGACTTGAAATGGCAACAGCATAGTGAAAACGAGACAAACCCAGGCCTCCATAAAGCTACAGCACAAACCACATTTTAAAAGTTCGATGAATATAAAAACAAAGTAAAGTTGCTTTCACCGTTTTTTTAAGTTTATACTAGGAACAGAAAGCCACTTACGGTTGAAATGGAGTGCTTGCTTTTACTTTGAATGGAGGACTGTAATAAAAAACAAATCCTAATCAGTTTAGCTAGCATGCAGGCCAGAGTTTTGAGGTTATTTGCTACATTGAAGGAAAATGATAATTACAAGGAGACAACACTTTTTGCCAGTAAAGGCTGGTTTCATCGTTCACAAGTTGGGAGTGCTTGCATGGCTCAGTTGGTTAAAGCATCATTTGGAAGTCGGCGTGAATGGATTAATGTTTCACTGACTAGTGAAGCTGCAAGTTCAGATAAGGATGCTACTGGGAAATTGGCACCCATATTCCAAGAATCACAGGCAGTCCTTGCTTTGCACAGTAGTACGAGACTGCTGTGTGAAAGCTTCACAGGATTTGGCTGGAATGTAAACATCGTTCTAGAAGATACAGACGACTGTGGGAATGTTGACACTGCTGCCATTCAGGAAGTAGTTCTGGATAAACAGCCAGAAGAATTGAGTGAAGGTGAACATAGTTATACATGAAGAAAGCAGTTGTGTGTTGTAAAGGATGAATACATTTCATAAGTGATTCAGGTGAAAAACCACATTAAAGGAACTCTCAGATGTTTCATGACATTGCACAAAGAATAAAATGAGAAGCAGATCTAAACTCAGAAAGGAGGATGACAATTTGCCAAGGTATAGAAAAGATGCTTGCTCTGTATCGCAAGTTATATGAGAAAACAAGTAATGTCCAAACTACTCTTGAGACTTGTTTATGAATAAAATGCTATCATTTTCAATATTTCTACTGTTGTGAATATTTTACTTTTTTATATTTATAACCAAAGTTAGGAGTTTTTGACAAATTTCGAGGTTACAGAACAATCAGATTGTTAATACCATAGATTAAGATTGCTTTGCATAGTTTCCACGTCCATAGTCCAAGTGATAACTCCCTGCATTTAAAACACAGAACTCTTTATATTTAACCAGATATAAACATATCAAGTCTAGGAATATACTTTTCCCTTACCAGTTATGATATTTTTCATACTGCCTTTGTATGCTATTATAACAAGGCTTTGAAATAAAAATTTGTGTAATACTGTATGTTTCATTCTTTGACTTGTAGGCAAAATCCTAATAGAATAGGGATTAGCAAACTTGTAAATAAGGCCATACAGTGAATACTTTAGGCTTTGCTGACTCTTAACTGTCTGTAGCAACTACTACGTTTTGTCCGTGTAGCACAACAGCCGTAGGCAATGCACAGACCATTGAAAAGTGGCTGTGTTCCAGTTAAGAAACTTATATCATGAAATACTGCTGTTTTTACCTCACAGAGCCTACAAAAGGGGGTGAGGAGCAGGGAGGTTTGTAGTTTGACTTCTAGAATAGGAACATGTAGTACATTAAATGATAACAAAGAATGTAACCACTGAATCATTGAGTTTTTCGGTTAAGTTGTTCTAACGAACCCTCTCCATATCAATGAACATTTCCAGGTGGTGGGGGTCTTATGGGTTGGGGCAGTAGGGAGTTAAATTTTCTGTTGACTCAAGTGGTGGGCCCACTTTCGGATTTTTCATTGGCATCTATAGGTAAACTAGTCCTTGCAGCTCTAAGTAAAAATGGATTTACAGAACACTAGAAATTTGCTACTGTAGCCTGAATAATCCATTCTATTTATGTACTAGAGAAACTTCCTTTTCAAATTGAACGTTAAGTATAAGACACTAAAAGGGTGTTTGAAAGCGTGCAGTGGATGTGCAAAACTTTGCCTACTCTAATACCTAGAAGTGAAGGCACTAGAAAAAGTTGAAGGAAAAAAGATGGTTGACTCATCGGTGAAATGGGAGAGAACGAGTCTAGAAGTTAGGAGACCTGGGTTGAGCCTAGGTTCTGACTGTTAAGTGCTTTTCCTCTGGTTTTACTCTGCTGTAAAACAATAAACTAAGAACGACGTCCAGGCAATACACCAATTCGATGTCAGGGTCTGGCGCAGCGCAGTGAGTAAGGGTAAATCCTAGAAGATATCAAATAATGGCCATATGATGCTAATTAGACTGCTGGACTCCACTGTGCCTCTTTGGAGTAACAAGTATGTCCACAACTGCCTTCGGGTATGACCAGATCATTTGCTTTTGAAGTCCTCAAAAGTAATACTGTCGAACCAACTACTCAATTTTTAGAACCCAATCACAAATTAGTTACTGCACTTAGGGCCCTGCAGCCCGGTTTCCACGTGATTTGTCCGGTGTTGACAGTGTAGTGGCGGCTGCCGACGTCTCAAGGACTAGAGCTACGTGGCGTTCCTGCAGGCCTCGGCCGTTCCTCGAAAAGATAGCTACACCCAGCACAGGGGAACCTTTCTTTTCCTTTTCTTTTCGCGTATCCCGGCTCACCCGTATCCTCACCCTGTAGGCCGCTCCTGGGGGGCCGGTCCCCCAGCCTCCCAAGCGCTCACGTCCCGCCACCCCCACGCTCTCCACGTCCGCCTGCCACCGCTCCCGGAAGTGCCGTGGCAGGGAGCGCGCCGAAGTGGGCGGGGCGAGGCGTCGCTCCCGGAAGCGTCTGTGGGCCGCCGGGGAGGGGCTGTGGCTGCCACGTTGAAGCGGAACGTGGAGGTGGCTTTGGGGCGGGAGGAGGGGCGGCGGCGAATGCTGGGAGAGTCCGACGGGCGTCGCGCTAACGCAGGAACCGATCGCCAAGGGTCCCCACAAGGTATGTCCGCCTATTACTCCCTGTCTTCTTTGCCGGCCCTCGGGCCTTGAGGTAGACCACAGGCGAAAGCTACGACCGCGGCATCGGTCTCCGCTGGTCCCCGTCAGCCTGCGGCCCGGTCGCTGGTGGCGGCGCGTCCCTGATCTTCGTTCCGGGCCCGTCGGGAACGCCTGGCGTCACGGCTGCTTCTGGGATCGCACAGATCCACATCCGCCAACGTTTCCACTGCTGAGCAGGAGCTGCCCTGAGGCTTGCGACAGGGTGTCGTGCCGGGTGCGGTAACGCGGGTCTGAGTTTAGAAGACCCTCACACCCTTGTGCACAAAGAGGTGCGGGCCCCAAGGACGAGGGGAGGAAGCAAACCTCAGGATCACTTTGGTTCATTTTATTTCCGTTGTGTTTTTTTTTTTTTTTTTGGTCTGTATTTGAACTGTTGCCAGGTTTAAAGGTTCATAGGTTATTCACTGGAAGCTACTGTCATTGAACCAGGATTGAATTATTTTAAGGGTAGTCGTCAATTGCTGTCTGTACCTCGAAGGAAATCTCAAAAAGTGTTTATGTTTTTGCTAATAAGTTATTATGGTGAGAGATTAGGTTACAGGGCAGGTGAAAAATAAATCAAAATATTGCGAGGGCTTGTGGGCATTATGAACTTTTATGTGAGCTCAAGTAACTAGTTTTATATAGGTCTTTCTGAAGTTGAAGTGGTGGTCTGTGGTAAATCCCCAAAACTCTTTTCTAACTACAGAAAACTGAAATGTAATTGTGTTTGTCACCAATTGTAACTATTCAATCAATAGTTAGAGCCTAGCTCTTCAATCATACCATCCTCCGTTTCCTGTACATACTGATCTGGGATTGGCTGAAGTTTACCCATCGTTTTTTAGTGGTTCTTCTGTGCTCTTTGTTTTCTCTTGCGTAAATAGACCTGGGGAAGGTTTGTAGACCCTTAAGAACTTTTCAATTAACTTGGGAATGTTTTTGTAGTTGTGAATTTGTTACACAAAACCGAGGTTATTTGGGAAGTGTGACATTGGAATGGATTTAGAATTATATTGCATAATTTTATATAAGCAGGTTCTTTCTGAAACTAATAACATAAAAAAGAAAGAAGTTTAAGAAGTTTGTAACTGTAAAGAGCAGTGATTCGTAACTATTTGGAATTCCATTCCCTTTTGAGGACCTGATGAAATCACTGGATCACCTTCTTAGAAAAATGCACTACAGAGGAGCTCCTGGGTGGCTCAGTTGGTTAAGCGTCTGACTCTTTATCTCAGTTCAGTTCTTGATCTCAGGGTTATGTGTTCTAGCCCTGTGTGCAGCTCCACACTGGGTGTGAAGCCCACTTAAAGAAAAAAAAATACCGCCACACACAGAATTTTATATATAATTTCATGAAGCTTAAACATTCTTGTCAAGTGATATTATTAAATTGATTTTTAAATGTTTTAAAAAATGTCATTCTTTTAAAAATATTTTTTTAATGTTTTATTTTTGAGAGAGAGAGAAACACACACACACAAGTATGGAAGGGGCAAAGAGAGAGGGAGACACAGAATCAGAGGCAGGCTTCCCAGTGCAGGCCTGAACCCACAAATTGTGAGGTCATGACTTGAGCTGAAGTGGGTCGTTTAACGTACTGGATCACCCAGGCACCCCAGAAATATTGTCATTCTTAGGTTAATTTCAGCTCAAAAAGTTTTATTTATTAGATTATAGATAAGTATGACACATTCAGTTCAACGCGCATTTGGTTGAGTGAAATGAGCCTAGAACATTGATAACAATAAATCCTCTAGAACGAATTTGCTCATCCATAATGAGATATTTGCCCACAAATGGATTTTTACTAAAGGCAGTGCAGACTGGGGATTGTATTCCTGGTGTAAGAGTCAGAGTTTCCATTTCCATAGACTCTTCTTATTACTTTTGAAGTATAGGTCATCTCTATATGTAGCATTGTAAGGTTGGTATTTTTTAGAAAACAGTTCTGTTGGAGTTTAGTATTGTTTTACGAAATTAGCAATTAAAAAATGAGCATAAAGAAGAAAGGTTCCGCTTAATTGCATTAATCTAACTATGTGCATGTTGTGGGGAGAAACTTGGACAAAAAAATAAGAGTCCTAGTCTAGAACATAAACTTTTCTTCAATAGGTGTATTCTTAAAGATTCATTGGGATACACATTTTAAATTGTGACTTTTGCAGTAGCTGACGTTTATAGGCCTCTATTTACTGTGTGCCAGGCACTGTTCTAAGGCCTCTGTGTAATGCCTTGTTTAATTCTCACAGCAACCCTTCATAATTACACATGCTTTTGTTATACTTATTTTACCAAATGGGTAGTCAAAACACACAACAGGTAAAGGTACATGCCTAAAGTCAGAGCCTAGGACAGGGTGGAGCTGGGATTTAGTCTGAGGTTTGGCTCCAGACTCCTTACCCTAAACTGCTATGCCATAGATACTGTCTTATAGATGTCATAGGTGAGCAAGCCACTGTCCTCACAATTTCTTTTGTATTATCAGAATTATTTTGTTCTGTGTAAAATAGTCTTGAATGTATTATCAGAATTATTTTGTTCTGTGTAAAACAGTCTTGTGAAATAAGTGACTTCTAATCACTTTTGATATTGAAAACAAATTGCACAAAGCTTTTAAAGCAAGTCTTCGCTTGGGAAGTACACTTGGCTAAATCTAAGCCTTCTTCGGATTTTCAAGAAAATTAATTACAACTAAATGATCATTTCTAAGAAAAGATCATTTCTAATATGCAAGCTGTACTTTCATAGTATTCTTGTTGTTTTAAGAATGATTGCGGTGGGTAGATTATGGTGTTCTTGTTTAATTAGGTTCGGACCACATAAGGTAGTTCCAGGCCATTATTGTAGTGATTGAAAAAAAAAAAGCAGTTGGTATTGAAGCCTTGTGTTCAGTACAAGCTAATAAGTGGAACTGCATCTAGTGGAACACTGAGTGCTAAGGACAAGAAATAGACTTTTAGAAATGCTTTGAATTTCCATTTAGCTGTTTTTATGTACTTGTGAAATTGTCTCTTTCTCTTTTAGTAAGTGTTACACATTAACTAAGTGTTCCTGAATCAGGTATTCTCTGTTGTACCTTTGCTCTTAGATGTACTCTAGTTCTGTTCAGTTGTTGTTTTTTTTTTAATATACATGGTGGTTTTGTTTTCACATTCAGAAGTTATTCTAAGACATTTTATAAAACCTCTTTTTACCCTAAGAGTATTTTCCCCTATTTAAAAAAAATTTTTTTTAACGTTTCTTTAGTTTGAGAGAGAGACAGAGTGCGAGCAGGGGAGGGGCAGAGACACACACACACACACAGAATGTGAAGCATGCTGCAGGCTCTGAGCTGTCAGCA